TGGTGACAAAGACAACAATAATGATGATACTGGTGATGATGATGATAATGATGGTGAAGAAGACAATGATGATGATGATGATGATGATGATGATGACATGATGATGATGGTGACGAAGACAACGATAATGATGATACTGGTGATGATGATGGTGAAGAAGACAATGATGATGATGATGATGATGATGATGATGATGATGATGGTGACGAAGACAACGATGAGGCTGCTGCTGCTGATGATGATGATAGTGGTGATGATGATGATGATAATGATAGTGTCGATGATGATGATGGTGATGATGATGATGAAGAAGATGATGCTGATGATGATAATGATGATGATGATGATGATGATGATGATGATGATGATGATGATGATGATGATGATGATGATGATGATGATGGTGATGAAGACAACGATGAGGCTGCTGCTGATGATGATAGTGGTGATGATGATGATAGTGGTGATGATGATGATGATAGTGTTGATGATGATGACATGATGATGATGGTGACGAAGACAACGATAATGATGATACTGGTGATGATGATGGTGAAGAAGACAATGATGATGATGATGATGATGATGATGATGATGATGATGGTGACGAAGACAACGATGAGGCTGCTGCTGCTGATGATGATGATAGTGGTGATGATGATGATGATAGTGGTGATGATGATGATAATGATAGTGTCGATGATGATGATGGTGATGATGATGATGAAGAAGATGATGCTGATGATGATAATGATGATGATGATGATGATGATGATGATGATGATGATGGTGATGAAGACAACGATGAGGCTGCTGCTGATGATGATAGTGGTGATGATGATGATAGTGGTGATGATGATGATGATAGTGTTGATGATGATGATGATGATGGTGATGATGATGATGAAGAAGATGATGCTGATGATGATAATGATGAAAATGATGATGATGATGATGATGATGATGATGATGATGATGATGATGATGAAGACAACAATGAGGCTGCTGCTGATGATGATAGTGCTGCTGATGATGATAGTGGTGATGATGATGATGATGATGATGATGATGATGTTGATGGTGAAGAAGACAACGATGAGGCTGCTGATGATGATGATAGTACTGATGATGATGATAGTGCTGATGATGATGATAGTACTGATGATGATGATAGTGCTGATGATGATGATAGTGTTGATGATGATGATAGTGGTGATGATGATGATGATGATAGTGGTGATGATGATGATGATGATAGTGGTGCTGATGATGATGATGATAGTGGTGCTGATGATGATAATGATAGTGTCGATGATGATGATGAAGAAGATGATGCTGATGATGATGATAATGATGATAATGATGATAATGATGGTGACGAAGACAACGATGAGGCTGCTGATGATGATAGTGCTGATGATGATGATAGTACTGATGATGATGATAGCGGTGATGATGATGATAATGATAGTGTCGATGGTGATGATGATGATGAAGAAGATGATGCTGATGATGGTGGATGTTGATGATAATGATGGTGACGAAGACAATGATGATAATGATGGTGACAATGATGATGATGATAGTGGTGATGATGATGATAATGATGTGATGAAGACAATGATGATAATGATGGTGACAATGATGATAATGATAGAGGTGATGATGATGATAATGATGGTGACGAAGACAATGATGATAATGATGGTGACAATGATGATGATGATAGTGGTGATGATGATGATAATGATGTGACGAAGACAATGATGATAATGATAGAGGTGATGATGATGATAATGATAGTGTCGATGCTGATGATGGTGGATGATGATGATAATGATGTGACGAAGACAATGATGATAATGATGGTGACAATGATGATGATGATAGTGGTGATGAAGACGATAATCTTTATTTCAAACAAAAAACTGCTAAAAAATTGTCAATAGAGAAAAGTCATCAATAAAAATAATAAAATAGAAAATAAAACAAATATGAAATAATAAGCAAGTGGGCTGCATGGTGGCACAGTTTTGAGCACTGTTGCCTCACAGCAAGAAGGTTGCAGGTTCAAAACCCGGCTGCAGTCTTTCCGCGTGGAGTTGCGTGGTCTACCCATGCATGCGTGGGTTTCCTCCGGGTTTCCCCCACAGATCACAACATGCCCTATAGATTCACAATTGTACGTCGCTTTGGATAAAAGCATCTGCTGAATAAGTAAACATAAACATAAAATCTGAAAATAATTTTTTAAATAAATGAATTTGTAGCAATGGCAATATTCACATCAGGCTCAGAACTAAAGGGTTTCTCAGTTTACAACCTTCTTTTGGGAAATTAAGCAAAACCTTTAAGCAGATGGTTTTTTTTCTGTTTTGATTTTCAAAACATGAAAACATTCCTGCTAATATCTGAATTCCCTCATCAGGATGTTCCGAACAAGTTTAGCCGCATGCATGACCAGTTACTGACCTGAAGACCAACCATGAGTAAATTAAATGTAATGTGCACTTAAGATAGTTCACAATATTTACTCAGCTTCAACTACTGACCATGTTGATGATGATTATTATATTTTTCAGCATTACAGTAAATAGTATTATCTATAAATATCACATAGTTGGTGAAAAGCAGTGTGTAAAATCATCCTTTTTACAAGTGTAAAGATTTTTAATTTCCACTTCTAAAATATTAATTTTAATCCCTTTTTTTAATGCGTTTGAAAATATTGGGATGTCACAGAACAATGAGCCACGCTGAGGTTCAAAAACGAAGGGGAACGAACACCCCCATCGCCCCAACCTTCACCCGCTGTGATCGTCGTCTGTCTGCAGTTTGGCAATAATGATGTTGGAGTCACAGAGGCCCATAAAAAAGGAAAGCACCCTATAAATTTCCATACATGCAGAACCGTGATCTGCTGAACCATATGTCTCTGATTCATGTTGCTCAGGTAGCATAAGAGATTTTGTGTCTTCTGCAAAACCCTTTTCAGTCATAATCCTACATCAGACAGAAGGCACTGTTTGATTACTTCTAATTAAAACGACAAATAGGTAGATGCTGCAGGTGAGCTACAGCCCCAGGAACGCTTGTGTAGCAGCTGAGGAGACGTCTCCTCCTGAACCGTTGTGGTGATATTGATCTGTTGTGACCGGAAGTTGTGTTAATGACTCGCACTACAGCAGCAGTGGCAGCGTGGATCAATAACGCAGCTCTGCTGACTGAGATCTTTATTGCAGACAATGGAGTTAAAACCAGTTGGAGCATCATGTTTACTATGGTTACACCGGGCAGGTGTGTATAGAAGCTGTTAACCTCTGTTCAGTGGAGCAGGGGGGTTATTTTTAGCCATGTCACCATCACCGTCTGAACGTGATGTTGCTTAATTCCCGCAATCAGGGGATGAGTAGAGAATGCATTTAGAGTGAACAAATGGAGACCAAGAAGCTGCTGAGTTTGTTAAAAGTCAAATATGTTTTACTATTTGGGCGTTTTAAAGTCTGTGTGGGCTATTTATCGCAACAAATCCCAGAGAAAATAAATAATTTAGAAGATTTTAAGGGTCGGTTCATTGAAACCCCTTTTTAGTGCTTGTTTCTGATTATAATTGGTCACTGTGAGATTTTCTTGCGGGCTGAACATGAGAATAGTCTCCTTTACCTATCCCCTGCATTAGCTTTAGAGAGAAAATAGATGATGAAAATCTAGGATTTGAAAAGCCCGGCAGATCTACGTCACACTGTCACTAAACATTCACGGACTCGCCCATCTTGACTCACGACAGGGAAGGTTGCGTCCAGGAAACAGCAGAGAACATCCAAACTAGTAAAAGCTAACAGTTAGCATAAGCAACTCCACCACACAGCAGAACTCCTCCATGCTTGTGTTATTTGTAGTCACGTTGATATTATCCAATCCAAGGCAAGGTGTCCAAATATTAGGAAATAAGACTCAAAATCCTGCCGTTTGCTGCACTTTCTGCAGCAGCAGACTTGTTGGTGCTAATCCAAGCAACTCTGAGCTTTGTTTGCCCCGCGTGCAGCTTGCAAGGCATTCATTCCTACCAGAGACCACTGCAAATGTATTGATTAAACAAATTTCCCACACTTTTAAGACATTTTTAAGAATGTGCTGAAAAAAATCCTTCAATAAAAATAAGATTATTTTTCTTCTTGCTACAGTTTGCAAACATCTGGTTTATCTAAATAGCTGTGATGTAATACATCATTTAGTCTCAAGCAAAGGATGCATAAACTGTTGATTAATTCAAGCAGAGTAATAATGAAGGTTGAATCATCCAATTCATTCAAGTAAAAAGGTCTCCAACTGAATTTAAATGTCGATGCAAAACTGAACTAGGATTTTTCTCTTATTAAGGATTTGCTAAATGTAAAAATGTAAATGAAGGATTATTTAGATAACTCAGGTCACAAGCATAACATACACACTTCAGTTACAATTTTGTAGCATTTTCTAAAAATAGATATAAATCAAAACTGCTTTAAGCTCATCTGTTTGAAATAGACTATCCGTTCTCTGAAAAAGCATATTTGAGACAAATAGCTTTAAAAACTGCTGCTGTGACTGAAGAAAACCCCAAACACCCCTAACTTATAACAATAATTGCAGAATAAATGTTTTCATTGAAAATTTGACACCTACTTAGTTTATTTTGAGCAAATTCCTTCTTTTCCAGATGATTAAAGATTCAGAATACATTGAATTTTTTCATTTGCCAACTAGGATTATCTATTGCTGCCATCTGCAGGATGTTCGAAGATATTTTGCATGTAAATTCTGTTGTTTGGCAACTTTTTTCCACATTGTCTTGTCTTATAAAGTGTATTTTTTGTATTTTAATCATGCAAAGCGACCAAACAGCAAAAATTCAAGGACTAAATTCATTTTGCATCCATAACAACAGTTTCTAATAAATAGTTATTTTCCCCCCTTATTTGTGATTCTTTAGATGGAAACAATCAGACTTTAAGAAAAAACAGGGTTTTCTATCTCATTTATTGCAAAATATTTGATTTGATAATCTCATAAGGCGTGGTAATAATTAACCACATAGGGCGAAATATGATCTACAGAACAATCAGGACTGTTTATTCTTAAGAAAATTAAAATGTTTTCATGCAAACAAAAGTACCAGTGAAGGTATTCATAAAAGAAGCTTCAACAATTAAATGTCTGCATGCACCTAAACTGTTTTTAAGACAGCTAAATTAAAAATACGCTTTTCCTTTGCTAAGCTGCTTCAGACGCAAGTAGCTTCATTCTCTGGGTCGGACTTCTACCTCCCTTCAATGCCAAAATAAATCTGAAAGACATCACAGCAGCCTTTCTCATTTAGGAACTGGTAGAGCTGTCCAAGGTCCATGTGGTTCCCCCTGTTCCCATGGGGGTCAAACATGGCCTCTTCAAAGCCTGTGAATTTGCGCAGAGAGTCCACGCTCTCGCTGTCCTCGCTTTGACGATCAAGGCTAATATCCTCTCTGTGTCGAATCATGATTTTCTTCCATGTCAGAACCTTCACTCTGAAATGAGGAAAAAGGTGTGAAAATATATTAAAAAGTGAAAACCTGGCACTTCAATAAGCTCCTGGCTCTGACATTGTCTGCTAAAAATATCAACACTTGAGGTACCTGGACCAGAACTCCTCACAGGCAGACTGAGGCCCTTCCACACACACAATGCCAGGTTTCCCGGGCATGCTGAATCCTGACAGACCCAACTCCTTTGACCATTCCAGAATGTTCTTCCTTTTCGACTTGTTGTAAATGTGATGACTGTAGATCCACAGTCGACTGAACACTTCCTGTGACTTCTTCCTCTGAGGCGGTGCCGTTAATAAGCTCTTATTAATGAAAAGGTGCAGGTTGTCTTTCACCCAGTCTGCTGCAGAAAGCACACACACTTCCCCCAGGCAGTTTTCCGTGAGGTACTTATTGAGACGGGCCTGCAGCTGAGTTTGATCCGTCCTGCTAAGAGCAGAACACCTGGAGTCAAAAATAAGAAAATATTTCAATTTAAAGTAATTATTCTAATGAACAAAAACATGATTCTTTAAAAATCCGTTACAGTGATAGCTTTAAACTGTTGCGTGATATAATGTAGGCAAAACGTTTTTTTTCTTTCTTTTTTCTTTTTTTTTGCTAAACCCCATCCCAAAGACTGCCATGCAGTTTGAATTGGGAGTTTGTCTCCTCCACTTCCGGTCGGCTCTCCCCAGAACAAAGTGTAATGAATAGAAAGGGTCAATTTTCTAGCCTAGTGAACTAGACCAAATTCTTGCTTTGCAAAGTTTGGTCTAGGCACGCTCCATTGGAACCTCCGCAGCTCCTACCAGGACTCTGGCTAGCCAATCACAGCTCTCTAGAGGGGTTTCAAACACACAAAGAGCTGTGACTGGTCCACAATGGTGGGCCAACCATAGTGCTCTATCTGCTTAGTGAACAAATCACAGAGCTTTATCCGCTTTGTGGGCCAGTCAGGGCATGCTATATGCCTGGTGGGTGGGATGATGCAACAGAGTGAAACAAGAGTATGTCACATTCATTGTCCAGTGGAATGCGGAGATCATTTGAAAGACAACGGTAGAACCCGCCCCACAACCGAAAGCCGTCAATGGAGCGTTGCCAGACTAAATAATATATTTATTTAGTCTGGCTTGCCAGGCTATCAATTTTCACCATCGAATTGACACAGTAACCTTTCATGTACGCCAGAGCTGCAAAGTCAAGGTTACGCCAGCTGGTATGGCGCAGTATGGGGGCCAAAATTAAGACTACTGCCCAGCAGCAGGAGGCTATATAAATTCTGAAGCAAACTACCGACCTGATTAATGATAAGCTGGCGCCGGTAACTGAGAGGTTGGCGCTGCTTACTGAGGAATAGCACCTTTACTGGCGTTATTACTAGATAGGCTAGGGACTGGCAGCCCTCGGCTGGTCATTGACTGGTTCAAACACTCCCTCTGCTGTCTATTAGCATGGATAGGCTAGCGTTAGCCTGGACGGGCTGGTGTTAGCATCGGAGAGGCTAGCCATTAGCATGCCTAGGCTGGCCACTAGCTGGATTTCCTACCCTCTTGATGGACCATTAGCATGGATAGGCTGGCGTTAGCATCGGAGAGGCTAGCCATTAGTGTGCCTAGGCTGGCCACTAACTGACTAGTGACTCTATGAGACATGCTAATGGCGAGCCTCTCCGATGCTAATGCCAGCCTATCCATGCTTAAGGTCCGTCAAGGGGGTAGGAAATCCAGCTAGTGGCATGCCTAGGCACGCTAATGGCTAGCCTCTCCAATGCTAACACCAGCCCATCCAGGCTAACGCTAGCCTATCCATGCTAATAGACAGCAGAGGGAGTGTTTGAACCAGTCAATGACCAGCCGAGGGCTGCTAGTCCCTAGCGTATCTAGTAGTAACGCCGGTAAAGGTGCTATTCCTCAGTAAGCAGCGCCAACCTCTCAGTTGCCGGCGCCAGCTTATCATTAATCAGATCAGTAGTTTGCTTCGGAATTTAGATAGCCTCCTGCTGCTGGGCAATAGTCTTAATTTTGGCCCCCATGCCGCGCCATAAACTGGAGGATCCAGAAGCACAAATCTATGTCGCGGTATGGGGGCCAAAATTAATACTACTGCCCAGCAGCAGGAGGCTATATAAATTTGAAATGCATATTGTTCTTACTATGATCCAATTATATCACAAATCACTATGTGTTTGATTTAACAAGTTAATCATTATCTACACTCATACACATCTTCATAAGATACAAATTAAGGTTAAGGTTCACCTCACATAAAGTTTAAAGATTCTTATTCACACAATTAAGAATCTTGTATCTGAAGGAAGGCGTGGCTTTCTGAGGAATGCTTAGGTAAAACCTCCAGAAATGGCACATTCTGATTGCCAGAATGGCTGGAAATCATATCATCGGGGTTTATTAAAACAGGATTTACTTCCCGATGAATTCAGTTTCCAGCTGAACCCTGATTCGGCCAAATCGGGAAAGAAGCCTCTTTTGAAACATCTCTTTTGACATACAGTCAACCTGTTTGCACGCTGCAAGCTGACACGGACAGACAGCTCCTTAAGAGTCATATTCACTTTGGACGCAGACAGCATTCCAACTACTGTTCTGACCTGGAAACATCTCAAGACTGGACGGGTCGCATCGAAGTTAATCTACTGGCTTCAGGTGCCGTGAAGTCCACCTGACTTCGGACAGTCCGGATCTGCTGGGGGTCTCCGCCAAAGTTTGTAGGCACAACGCGTCTGATGCTGTTTTGTTAATAATCCACTCTCTAGTTTATAGCAGACAAAAAATTCTTTTACACCCAGATTTCACAATTTCTTTCAGATACAAAGATTCTGATGAACATTTAGCTTACATCACACCACCTACACATCACATTCCATCACATCTCATTATTCATATCTTGTCAAGTATAATCATTAGTTTAGAAAAGAATAAAATTCCTTTTTAACTATATACCTGACTCTGTCTGAATTATTACGAAGTGTGTTTATGGTCCCTGAACAAGTAAAAGTAACTATAATCTTCTGATTAAACATTCAAAGATCAATCAGATTGACATTTCGTATTCATATGGAATCATCACATCTTATTGGTCATAATTAAATATGCAGTCATTACGCTATAAAGTGTGACCGCTACAAAAGAAAATATGAATGAAAGTGAACGGGGCAACCACTTTGCTTTACACCCTGAATCCCACATATGCTGTAATTTAATTTAATTGAAAAGTACTGTGTGTACTCTCACTATGACTGTCACATAATTGGAGATTTATTAACTTGTAATAATTGCAATTAAAGTAACTAAAATTCAGACGTCGCATAAATGGCGTCACCACAGAATCTCTTCTCCCCCAGGGTAACTGTTACTCACCACATGGCCAGATTTATAGTAGTTTTCGTTTACGTTTAATGCTCCTTCTGTCTTGGAAGAAGAATTTGAAGCTTGATAAACTCAGCCATTTTTCTTTTTCTCTCTTTTGTATCTGGTTTGATGACGTCATTTGGTGAGACGAGCATTTTTAGTCCGCTATGTCTTTTTACACAAAATCTAAAAGAACTTTTGCCGCCTGTTGTAAAAAAGTGCTTTTTTAGCATCAAAATTTGTTTTTAAAATTTACGGACATCACATATGCAACCCATGGCACAGATCAAACTGGATCAGAAAATTACTTTCTTCGGCTCATAGACTCCCATTCATTTTTGGTAGAAGGGAACCCATGGTCGGGAAGTAGATGGGCGTGACGTAGGCTCTCTGTGGAGCGCTGCTCAGCATTAGCCAAGGGCCATAGACATCTGCTTACATATTGATGTCAACAGCAGGTGCACGTTAACAGAAGTATCTAGACTGATACAGATCTGGCGACATTTCTTATGAACAAGTCTTAAAAAATTTGTATTTATATCAGTGGTTCTCAATCCTGGTCCTGGAGGGTCGGTCGGTTTCCAACATGTTTTATTTTTAACCTTGTTTTGTTTCAACACAAGTGCAGTTCTAGTAACAGCTAGGAAACATTGTAAAACAACGTGTTTTAGCTTCATTGGCCAGCTAGAATTGTGCATTCACAAACGACAGCCATTGTTTCCAACCAATCACAGAAGTAGGGGGTGGGGCATAAGGTGCAATACATGTTTTCCACCTCTAGATTGTGCCATTTGACCAAAAAACTGTGGGTTTCTGTTTTAATAAAGAAAAACACATTCAAGCTTTGAACTACACATGCTGTCATTCAAATTATGTTTTATATTCCCAATTTCTGCACATGTCACAAACCTAAACGAGTCTGTGGTTTAAGGGGTCCAAGCTGGTCCCCATGTTTAGCTATGAAAGGAGTTTAAAACTTTTACCATGTGTTAATATTACATAGCTTACCTTACTGTTATATCTGGCAACACGCTAGGGTATTCAGATGGATATGAGCAGGACAGAATAAAGCCACTCTGAGGAAAACACCAATGCAAGAAAATTAAATATAACAAATTTAAAGCAAATTAAATATTAAAACAGCCTGATTACCTCCTCCATGACTGAAGAATCCAGCTTGTTCTTGATGAGGAACTGAGGTCTGGAGGCAGGAGGTTTGTCTCCCGAAGCTGATCCCTCCACGTAGCTCCTGAGCTCAGCCACAGCCAGCGGGTCGCTGAGCTCCAGCTCTTCCTGACTGGGAAACATGCTCGCTAGCAGCTCTATCTCTGCAAGCTGAGACTCGGCCCACTCCAAGTAAGACATGTTGCTAAAACTTGATCATTTAAATAAATCAACTATACTGTTCTGTCGCCACTTTTCAGCTGTTAATAACCATGTTGGAGCGGTTGAATTGAACAAGATAAACATATATAGTTGACTCTTGCAAATAATAAAGAAATGAAATGATAATAATCCTCTTCTTTTCTGTGTGAGCCGTTTGTTAGCTTCTTGTTTGAACTCGAACTTATTAAACGACGGAAAGTTCTTGTTTCAACTCGGATCATTTTAAACGGCGGACTGACGTAGTTCCGGTCTCTGTTGCATGTGTCATCTGGCGGCTTCTGGAAAATCTGTTGAGTTGCTTCTTTTTGCGATTTTGAAATAGTTGAAATATAAACTCGTTTCATGTACCGTTACCTTTACATGTAATGGATTTATAGGCTTTAACAAACAAACAAACCAAAAATGTCCGTATCAAAGAGGTTAACTGCAGTGAGGAAACGAAACAGAAAACGGTGAACGTTAGCCTCTGGTTGTGATAGTCACAGTGAGTTGACTTTATGTAGTGTTACGTGTATTTTATACATATTGAACTTAACGTTAACTTTTCGGTGTGTTTGTTGCTTTTATTTTAGGTGCGTGTTGTGTGGTCAGCGTCCAACACTAAATCTACTTTGGTGGAAATGGGAAAGAAAAGAGGAAAAGACAAGACCTCCAGAGAGGAGGATGCATTTGACCTGACAGGTAAACAGTTGTCTTACTTTAACGCTTTTTACGCCTTTAGAAGACCTATATGTTGTTTTCACAGTTCCAACCTGCAGACACATCAAGAAGGGAACAGACCAAACTCTTCTGAAGAAACTCCCCAGTATTTCTGATTGGTCGAGGTGTCAGGATTGTAAACATGAGGACAAAGAAAATATCAACACCAGTGAAGAACAGGACTCTGAAGAGGACACAGATGCAGGGGGGATATGGATGTGTTTGAAATGTGGCCACAGGGTGAGTTTTAGTTACCCATTATTGGTCAGATCCAATCTTTTTTTTTTTTTTTTTTTTTACAATTTTTAATAACATTGTGTGTTCTTAATTAGGGTTGTGGAAGAAATTCTGAGAATCAGCATGCCATCAAACATTATGAGACTCCTCGATCAGATCCACACTGTCTGGTGGTCAGTTTAGACAGCTGGAGTGTGTGGTGAGCATGTCTTTTAAACACCAGTGTAACATCAGGATGACTTTCATTAGATTGATATAAACTTTTTCTTGTAGGTGTTACATTTGTGACAATGAGGTCCAGTACTCCAGAACAGGGCAGTTGGCACAGCTGTTGAGCAACATGAAAAAGCAAACCTCGTCTGGTTCTATAAGAAGACCAGAGAAAAGTAGGTACTTGTGAGTTTTACTGCAAAGGTATGTGTCTTATCTTATCTCTTTCCAACATGGTTTAGAAGTTTTTTTTAAAGTCCATCTAAATTTCTCTCAGTAAGGCAAGGCAACTTGATTTGTATAGCACCATACAATGGTATAAAACCGACCAAAGTGCTTCACAGACATTCAAAACCATACACAACATAAAAATGTTAAAAAACTAAATCTGTGAAATATGTAAACTGAATCATGTGCAAATATTTCTGGATTTACATTCATGTTTAGGCTATAAAAAGACAGTTCATTTGGCAGAAGCATTGATATGAAGGCTTATTTTCTTCACCACTGCCTGTGCAGGGAAAGAAACACCGCTGTTCTATAGCTTCTGTGGGATTTGGACCCTTTAAGGGAAGGCATTCCTTAAATGCTTTCATCTTTTTTTAAGCAAATAATTTTACAAACATTAAAGGAGCAATATGTAAGAATTCTTCTGTGAAGTAATCAGAAAGACTAGTGTCTGAATCATGTTGGAAGGAAGGTTACGATAAAACAGTTTTCATTCTCAGCCGGTTGGAGGTTGTGAGTTTTCTCTTTTCAAAAAAATAAATAAAGAGGGACATAGTCAGGGGGTGTTTCTCAGTGCCAAGAAACCTCGCCTTGATGTCTTGGTCCCGCCCCGGTTGCCTAGGAAACACGTCATCAGGAACCACCAAGACGTGTTCCAAATGTTCATGTTCTACCGAGGCGTCTGTTCTCCGTTTGTTGGCCGTTTAGCTAGCTGAGCTAGGATACACGGGAGGTATCTTGTAGCCTAGCCTTGGTCAAAAATTACCCAGAATACACCGCAGTATTTTCAAAACGATGGCGGATCAGAAGCCGGCAGCTACTTCGGGCAAAAATTTCAAGTTTAAATGTAAGTCAACTAATTTCAAATGTTTATATTTTTTTTTTAGATCCAAAGCAGTTAGCTATGGTTGGTTAGTTGATAAGTAGTTGCAGCTTCGGTGGCTAGCGGGTATTAATACGCTTATATATAAATTTAACAAATATATACACAATTTCAAAAGTAAATTGAACCTTATACGTATAAAATATCACCCATGTCACGTGACATTACGTCACCATTTTCTATGACCAAGGAAGGACAGTGTCCTCGTAAGCAAGGCGCCTGGCCTTGACATTGAGAACCCCCCACTGTTTACAGTCAGCTTGTAAGGTTGCAGAATCTGCAGTGAGCTAATGCTGCAGTGTGGCCATTTATAATTCGACACTGGCAAGCAAAAGGCTCCAAAGTTGTTTAAAGAACCAAAGCTAGTAACCAGAAGCGACCCAGGAAATATTTCTTGTACCCCTAAGAAGCCACAACATCTTTTTATTTTGTTGAAGCAGGCTGGAGGCTAACGTTGAGCTAATTAGAAGTGAGTGAATTAGAAGCAAATAGTCGGCTCTAAAACCAACTCAAGCTACTTTTTCAATTACCAACAACTCAATATTACAATGAAATGTGTGAAGTGAATGATGATTCGATTGGGGCGTTTTACTTCCTTTAATGAGTCGTTCAGAACTATTAACAGCAAGGCGGCAGACAACCACACTTCCTGTAATGCCAGAGAGGGATTACCGTAATAAGTGTAGTAAGTGCCCCCTGCTGTGAAACACCCAAGAGTGATAGCACCAGATATAACAATGTATTTATCTGCTTATAGACTTACTGTGTATGACTCGTCTTTGCTTGTCATCTAGAATCTTCTGGCGCTGATCTGGAACTGGCAACAGTTGTGAAACTCATGGAACGGCAATGAGAAAGCAATTCTTTTTGCTCAGGAAAATGGACTGCAATTACCTAATTTGACCACAGGATGTCACCGTTACTTCGTTTTTACATGTCACACCTGAAAGACCCATTAGCTTTGTAAATAAAAGGGAAATTTTACAACAGGGGATAAACACGCCGTGCTTCATCAATGCTGTTGAGATGTGTCAGTGCATCTTTTCTGAAAATTCTCAGTTTCTAATCATTTTCTACGAATTCATTTTAAGAATTGGTGCTTCTTTCAAACTTTTGAGACAGGAGATTAGATGTTTAAACTACCAGCTTTCTGTAACCACCATGTTTGTTTAGGAGTAAAGGAGGAAATAAAGGAGGAGGTGGATCTGCTGGAGGCCGAACAGAAGACAGAAACTGTAAACACAAAGGAAAACGAGAACGAGGAGAACACTGAAAGCAAGAACAATCAACAGAAGAACATCAAAAAAGAGATTGCTGGGAAACCTCCAAACCGCGACATGACTGAAAACAACATTGTTCCGGTAAAAGGGCTGAGCAACCTTGGAAACACTTGTTTCTTCAACGCAGTCATTCAGGTACGATTATACCTTTTACATAAGACCAGTCTGGGCTGAAATTAAAGTGTTTTTAATTGCTGTTGTTGTTTGGTTTGCAGAATCTTTCACAGACTCAACTTTTGAGACAGATTCTCAACGAAGTGACAAAAGAGAAAATAAGTCTGGAGATCAACCCTGGTGCCTCTTTAGATTTGGTGTGTTGTCGTCTATCCCACATATAAACCATCTGTGGTTTACTCTGTTCATTACTGAAACGTTAACTTATTTTAAATACAGGAACCTTTACAAGTAGAGTTGGACCAGCCTGGATCCCTTACTCTGGCTCTGTGTAAACTACTCAATGAAATCCAGGAATCCATAAAGGGGGTGGTAACACCACGGGACTTATTCACACAAGTTTGCAAAAAGTTGGTCCAAATATGGTTCGATAACCACTTAAAATGTGCTTTTATGTTAAACATCTCAGGTCTTTGAAATAATAATTCAACATTTTGTCTGATCCCTGCAGGGCTGCCAGGTTTAAGGGGTTTCAGCAGCAGGACAGCCAGGAGCTGCTGCGCTACCTTCTGGATGGGATGAGAGCCGAGGAACTTAAGGTGTACACTCAGTTTTAAGCTAGTTACTGTTCACAGCTTTTAAAAGCATTCGAAGTCTGAGCATCACTCAGCCTTTCCACCGGAGGCGTAAGTGGTGTCTACAGTGAAAGTATTGTTTTTTTGTGTGAGCTCAGTGGCACGTTTCATCCAACTGAGAGCGTCTCTGACTTGACACGGCAGCGAAAGCATTCCACCCATCTTGTAAAATCACAGGAGAATTGCAGTAGCAGACGGGATTCCCTGCGTTCACACTAACGAGCAAGGAGAAAGACGGGCGCCTGTATCCAAAAGGTCTGGTTCATTTTCTGGAGGTTTCACAGGTCATTTAAGAGGTTAAGTGAGCTTTTATTGTCAAATTCTTCACACGCACAAAGGACTCGGGATGGTGTTTCTCACTATCCCATGCACAGAACAGGACTCAAAGACATGACAGCACAAGGGATGCACCGA